ACGAGAGTAGAGAATACGCGAGGAGGGACGATAATCCCTAGCAGCACAAAGAACCCGAAGCGATCGGACGGCCGATGTATCCCGGCATGGCTACACAAAGAAGGTACGAGAGACACCCACTGTCAAATCACCGGACTGCAACCGGTATGCACTTTGCAATCTATCTCCCCGATATTGCCTCCTTTGCCTTTGCCTTTGCCTTTGCCTTTGCTCTGTGCCCTCCCCCCCTCGTCTTGCTCGACTCGCTATGAGCTGCTCCGTCAGGGCCTCCTCGTTGAGGGCCCTCGGTAGGTCCCTGGCGGGCCTGCTGAAGAAGCCAGGGATCGACCTGCTGAAGAGGCCAGGGACCGACCTGCTGAAGAACGGCCCTGGCACAGCACATGAGAGTTAAGGCTGGTTGACGAGTGGGGTTCATTTCAATTCACACCCCTACAGTGGAAGCCGCGCTCGACCCCTTCTTTCCCTCCCACGCCCGCTACCAATCCCACTCCTTCTTGCCTGCCTCGCCCACTAGGTACCGGTGCTGCCCTGGGTTGCCCGATCTCCAACCGACCACGGCCAATTCACCTGACTGCCTGACCTCCTGAATGCTCTTCCCATCATCATCTCCCTCTCTTGTCTGTCGCTGCACTGCTGCCTTCTTCCCCCCTTCACCGAGTCTGCTGCAGATTCATTCGTCGAGGCGGTCGCAGGCTTGCAGCTAGCCACAACTCGATTCATTGCCCGACTTGTCTCTTAACCTTTTCCCCCCTACCTGTCATTCTCTACCGCCTGAGCCGAAATCCCCCCCCCCCACCCACCGCCCCTTTGCCTCGCCTGCGCGCATATGCCGACCGACCATGGCTAACGACCGCAGCGTCTACTCGTCCGGCCAGTTCATGAACCCAGGACCGGCCCCGAGACCTCCCACCGACAACAGACCCAGACTCGCCCTCACCCCCAATGCCAACCTCCCCGGTAGCATGGCCAACATGGCCATCTCCCCCATCCGGAGCACCACCACTTCGACCTACACCGGGTCTACCATTTCTCTGCCCATCGCACGTCAAAACTCGAGCCAGACCGATGGCATGGGCGGCGTCGCCATCAGGAAGGAGGGTTGGGCACAAGTAAAAGAAAGCAAAAACTTTATCAACCCCTGGAAACAGAGGCTACTTGTCCTCCGCAAAGAGTCGCTCGACTTCCACAAGACGGAGGGCGGCAAAGTCGCCTACACACTATACCTCAAAGATGTCGTCAACGTCGGCCGAGTCGAGGCCGCAGGGACCATCTTTGAGATCAAGAGGAACCCCAACGGGTCGTCCAACAGCCCCGGCGAGGACGACGGACAGACCAAGACGCTGCAGATCCGAGTCAAGAGCGACGATGATCTGTATGAATGGATCGACCTCATCTACGGCGCATGCCCTGGTATGGGCGGCGTCAGCAACCCCACCAACTTCTCCCACGCCGTTCACGTCGGCTTCGATCCCCAGACTGGCGAGTTCGTCGGCCTGCCACCCGAGTGGTCGAAGCTGCTCAACTCATCCGCCATCACAAAGGAGGATTACGAGCGCAACCCGCAAGCTGTCTTTGAGGTCCTCGACTTCTACTCCGACCTCACGAAGCGTGCCGGCAATCCCCAACAGTACTCAAGCCTCACACCCACGCCGCCCGTGTCCAGTCAGCAGAACAAGCAGCTTGGCTACGGCAATGCAGGCGCCGGCGTCGCGCCCCCTCGCCCGATGCCCCCCTCGCAGCCGCAGAGACAGCCTAGCTACAACACGCAGGCCTCGCCCCAGAGCCAGAGGAAGCCATCAGCGTCAGATCAACAAGACCAGATGCAACGTCAGCAGATGCAAATGCAGGAGACCCGTGATCGGGAACTTCAGCAGCGTGACCAGCGTGACCGAGATGCCCAGCGCATGCGGCAGATGGAAGCACAACGGCAGCGTGAGATTGACGAGGCGAACCGTCGTGATCTGGAAGCCTACAACGCAGCCATCCCCAAGACCAAGGTCCCGATGGCCCAGCAAGAGCTCGGCGGCTACGGAGGTGGTGGCTCTTCCTCCCCGTCTCCGGCGGATCGGTACAACCCTTCCAGAGCCGCACCGCCGGCGCCGAAAGCCAGCAACCAGCAGGTCGGCAGCCTGCGTGCACAGCGTCCCGCCCCCTCTCCCCCCACGGCCGGCTCCACACGGCCGCCCCTCAGCTCGCAGCAGAGCTCCAGCTCTCTGCGAGATCCCAACCAGGCCCAACGAGCGCCGCCGCGACCTGACCCGAACCAACAGCGTTACCCGAACGGCAGCTCAGCCTCGCAGCCCCGGCAGAACGGCCCCAGCCAGGCCCAGGCTCCGTCACGCCTCCCCGCGCCTGTGAAGCCCTTGAACGTCAACAAGGCTCCAGCGCCCCAGCCGTCGGACGGCGTCAAGGCTGCCGAGGCGGCCTTGTCTGCAAAGCCCCCGGCATCCGAGCGCAAGCAGGACGTGCGCATGTCCACCATGTCCGAGGGTGAGGTGATGGCCAAGCTCAAAGAGGCTGTTTCTAAGGACGACCCCAACCTGTCGTACTCGAAGCAGAAGAAGATTGGCCAGGGTGCCTCAGGATCCGTCTATGTCGCCAAGGTTAAGGAGACGGCCCAATCGCCTATTGCCCGTGAACTTTTGCGGTCGCAAGGTCTCAAGGCCCAAGTCGCCATTAAGCAAATGGACCTCGCACACCAGCCGAGGAAGGAGCTCATTGTCAACGAGATTATGGTCATGAAGGACAGCCGACACCGCAACATTGTCAACTTCCTGGACGCGTTTCTACGCAACAACAACTCGGAGCTGTGGGTTGTCATGGAATTTATGGAGGGCGGTGCCCTCACGGATGTGATTGACGGCAATACGAGCATCAGCGAGGAGCAGATTTCGACCATCTGCCTCGAGGTAAGACGATGCCATTTTGATGCGGGAGGGAACACAGCTGACCAGTTCAGACGTGCCGTGGCCTTCAGCACCTTCACTCGCAGAACATTATTCACCGTGATATCAAGAGTGACAACGTGCTTTTGGACGCCCGTGGTAACGTGAAGATTAGTGAGTTCATACAGACCCCTTTCTCTGCCCCTCGCGGAGCAATGGCAGATTACTGACCGCGATCAATGTAGCCGACTTTGGCTTCTGCGCCAAGCTCACAGAAAGCAAGTCGAAGCGTGCGACCATGGTCGGCACGCCGTACTGGATGGCACCCGAGGTGGTCAAGCAGAAGGAGTACGGCCCCAAGGTGGATATCTGGTCGCTAGGCATCATGGCCATCGAGATGATCGAGTCGGAGCCGCCGTACCTCAACGAAGAGCCGCTCAAGGCGCTGTATCTCATCGCGACGAACGGTACGCCGCGTCTCAAGAAGCCGGAGAAGCTGAGCAAGGAGCTCAAGGCCTTCCTGTCGGTATGCTTGTGCGTGGACGTCATGAGCCGTGCTTCGGCGGAGGAGCTGCTGCTGCACGATTTCCTCAAGCACGGATGCCCTCTGTCGAGCCTCGCGGATCTCCTCGCCTTCAAGAAGACGGCCAAATAAGGCGGCGACCGGCGGCGGACGGGCACAGAGCGGAGAAGATGATGATGGTCATGGCCGTGACCGTTGTTTTACTTGGGGGCCCCTGAATTGGTTTGGATTACTGCGGGATTGCGTGACGAAATAACTTACTAGATGACCACGTCGGGCGTTTCGTGGATCTACGGAGGTGGTTGAAGGGGGAGAAGACGCCCCATGACAGGAGGAGCAGAGGAGAGAGAGAGAGAGAGAGAGAGAGAGAGACAAGGACAAGGACAAGGACAAGAAGCGCTGAGAAGCAGAGAAAGGGGTTTTCGCCGACGTCACGGCGACGGGTAATCGGTAGAAACGGCAAGGCGCCAAGCCCGAACACGGCGCGTGGTTTTGTGCCGAACAGCGACGGGGCAATGGCCAGGACGGACGACGACCGTGGTCGCGGCGGCTATGGTGGCGGTCACGGTCGTGGTCGTGGTCGTGGTCTGCGCGGACGAGTGTGCATAAGGGACAGGTCTCTCGACAGAGGGGGCACTGCTGCAAGCGAGCGATTGGCCTTGGGCAAGGGAACGAGTTCATAGGAGTGCTCAATGAAGCGGAATGATCATAGCATGGAATGACGAGGTCGGCATGATGCTCGGCGACACTCTCGCTCGTGTCGTGTGATGGGACTCGTTCGTGTGATGGGACTCGTGTCGTGTGATGGGACTCGTGTCGTGTGATGGGACGGATAGGAAGGGCAGAAAGGCAGAAAGGCAGAAAGGCAGAACGGCAGACAGTGCTGTGGAATCAGCCCTGTGGCCCCCGATCCTGCCATGTCTGCCGGGGGGTTTCGCGGGCCGTGATGAGTTGGATCGCTACACGACCAAGGTGCACGTAGCGTGGAGCACGCAGCAGGATGTGACGCGTAGGCTTTGTGTTGGGTCTCCTACAAGACGGACGACGAGGAAGACACGGACGACGAGGAAGACGAGGCCCGACGATAGTGGAGGGCTGGTGCGGGGCCGGGCTGGAGGAAGCCGAGCGATTGGTGTGGTGTGGTTCGGGAAAAACGCGAGGTCTTCAGCGCAAGCGGCCAGCCACACGAGGTGAAATACGAGGTGTCCCCTCGTACCACCCGGGTGCCCCAGCACTTGTACCTACCTGTACCTACCTGTATCGCGCCTGCTCTGCTGGCTGCCGATGGCGAATGCTGCTGTTGCACTGCTCTCTCATTCTCGTTTCCCCTTCCCCTTCACTGCATCGAACCATCTCATCAAAGGCAAAACCACTTGATTCGTCAACGGGTGTTTTCCTCCCCACGGCTTTTCTCTCGCGCCGGATCAGGGCTTCTTCTGCGTTTGGTGACGCCTTTGTTCTCGCTGCTGTCACTGGCTCTCCAGGGGTGGGACGGCCAAAGCAACATTGAGTGGTGTGTCGCCCACCGACACCACAAGCAGCACAACCACAGGAGGCCCGAGGGGATTTTTCTTCTTCTTGGAGGAGCAGCCATGTCGCCCAGTCCGTCAGCCGGCTCGGCGACGCCCATCACGCCGGGCACGCCGGCCGCTTCGCGCGGGAGCTCGAGGCTGGGCGCGACGGGGGCCGAGACGGGACCTGCTGAGGCCGACGTGGACATGGAGCTGGATCTGGATCTGGAAGCCGGCGGCAGCGGCCCAGCGGGCAGCGGTGGTGGTGGTGGTGGTGGTGGTGGCTCCACGGGCAGAGGCGCAGGCACGCCGGCTTCGGGCACAGTCGTGTCGAGGCGATCGCATCCCAAGTCGAGGACGGGATGTCGGACCTGCAAGAAGAGGAAGATCAAGGTGGGTGTTTTTTTTTTCTCTCTCTCTCTATCTCTTGCGGTTGTTCCTTTGCCTGGCTTGGCGTGGCTTGGCTGCGGCGGTTTGCATTTGATGGAACGGCGGGGGCGATGCCTCTCGGGAGACTCGGGTATCTCGGGTTGAGGGCATCGTGGGATGGGTTGGTGACCTTCCTTGTCTTGTTGACGTGACACCTCATGGCTTTGCGACGACTTTCTTCTCTTTGATCTTCTCTTAATCCTTCTTTCGAGTCTAGACACTAACACAAGTAGTGCGACGAACACAAACCGTCCTGCCGCAACTGCATCAAACATGCCGTGGCCTGCGACTTTCTCCAGACCCATGCCACGTCGACGTCGGCGCCGCGTTCGCCATCGTCGTTCGACTTTGCCGGCAACCCTGGCAACGGCCTGTCGACCTTCACAGACCTCAACATGGTCGACCTCGAGCTCATCCACAACTTCACGACCTTCACCTATGCCACCCTCGGCTCCGATCCGCAGGTGCGGCAGATGATGAAGACGACGGTCATCCGCATGGCCCTCGACTGCGAATACATCATGCACACCGTCCTCGCCGTCTCGGCGCTCCACCTCTCCCACTATCGCCAGGCGCGCGCCGACTTTTACGTCACCAAGGCCATGCAGCACCACCAGGTCGGGGCCCGCGTCGCCATTGCCCTCATGGGCGGCGACCTCCACAAGGAGGACTGCGAGCACCTCCATCTCTTCTGCCTCCTCACCCTCTTCTACGCCCTCGGCTCCCCGCGCAAGTCCTCCGACGACTCCCTCCTCATGGGCCAGGGCGCCTTCCCCAACTGGATCTTCCTGCTGCGCAGCCACGAGCCCATCATTGAGCGCCTCGACCCCCACAACTACACGGGGCCCCTGAGCCCCGTCTTCGCCCTCGGCCGCGAGCGCTGGCACGTCGTCAACAGGTGGGAGCAGCAGCTCCCCGGCCCGCCGCTCCTCGGCGAGCTCAGCGCCCTCGTCACCAAGGCCGTCACCGACCCGGACCTGCTCCACACGTACAGCTTCGCCATCGAGCACCTGCGCCGCGTGCTGACGCTGCTCGTGGCCAACGGCGACAGCGCCATGGGGCCCGCCGTCCGCCTCGAGGGCTGGGACGTCATCATGTGGAAGTGGCAGGTCGCCAAGGATTTCCTGCCGCTGCTGCAGGGGGCCAATCCGGCGCAGGAGGCCGTCGCCATCTTCGCCCATTTTCTCATCCTCATTAAGAAGGTCGAGGACCAGTGGTGGCTCGAGGGCTGGTCGACCCATCTCATGGGCAAGGTGTGGGAGAAGCTGGATCAGGAGCACAGGCTGTGGGTGCAGTGGCCGATAGAGGAGCTGGGATGGGTGCCGCCTTAGGTTCAATCTGTTCTGTTGCCTTCATTGTGACTCCAGGTGAAAGTCCGCCAAGTGTATGAACGGATGCTGTAGCTTGCCTTTCGCTGGGATTAAAAAAAACCCTGACAGACACAACATGCCTATTCTATCCGTCCCCAGCTCCAGATGTTGAGTCCAACCTTGACGCCCTCTTTCACGGGCAGTCCGGCGTGCCACGACTCGTCCCAACCCCGCCTGCTCCCGTCCGGCCGAAAGTTCTCCCAGTACACAGCATTGCCGGGGATCACCTTGAACACGACGCCCTCTCTCCTCGCCGCCTGCGTCTCTCCGTCCGCCGCACCCTCCTCGCCCTCGCCCTCGCCCTCGCCCTCGCCCTCACACTCGACAAACCGACACCAAGACCCGCGCCGCGCCGCGAGCCGCGGAAACGCGGTGCCCCCGCCAACGACCCCCTCGCCCGCGACCCAGGCCATGACGCTGCTGACGCGGCTCCACCCGCCGCCGCTCGACGCCCAGTCAAAGTGGTGGCGGTAGTGGCCGCCGACGCCGTACCGCTGCGTGCGCAGCCGCTCGACCCAGACGGCGGGCCGCCAGCCCTGCAGCGCGGCGGCGCGGCGCTCGACGCAGCGGACGGCGCGCGTGCGCGGCAGCAGCGCCACGTCCGAGAGCCGCGCTGCCGGGTCGTGGGCCGTCGTGGCGCCGTTGGCTGTCTGGGAGGGGGTCCAGAGGGGTTCACTGGCTTGGTTAGTTTTCTGCTTCTGCTCTTGTTCTCTTCTGTTTCTCTTCTTCTCTTCTTCTTCTTCTTCTCCTTTCTTCCTGAACCAGTTTGGTCATGACATCTTCATGCGAGAAAGTGAACGAGGAGATCGAGAACGGGCTCAAGAGAAGCAGACAGAAACGAGAAACGGAACGGCCACCCACCTTTCCGCCAACATGTGGACGCGCTCCTCCTCGGTGAGGAACCCCTCGAGATAGAGAACCAGCGGCTGGCGAGAGTAAATGTGCACCGCGTAGGCGTCCGGCGCGCAGTCAGGGGCCGGCGCGTCGGCGTCGTCGAGGGCGAGGTGGGACGTGTTGAGGAAGGGCCGCGGGGCGTACGACGATGACGGCGGGGCCGGGGAGAGCCACTGCGTCAGCGGGCCGAGGGCGAAGAGCAGAAAGGCCACGAGGCCGACGAGGTAGGAGATCATGGTTTCCTGGACAAATGTTCCTGGACAAATGTTCCTGGACAAATGGACCCCCCCAAAAAATAGTGGGAGCCGGTTAAACGTGTGAGACAGACGTGAGCGGACGCTCGAGGGAGAAGCGCAGGATGGATGTGGTTCGATTCAGGATTAGGTAAGTCCGGCTAATCCGGCATGCGCGCCCTCACGTTCGAGCCAGAACGACGAGAGAGCCAAACCCCCCCCCCCCCCCT